CAACATTGCTATACGTAAATCTTTGCCTATTCTACTTTAATTTATGAAAGAAAATTTCATCAGAAATAATCTGTAAGAAGGAAAAATGCCACTGAAACACAGAGTAAAGTACTGAAAGACTATGAACTGTTTAACACTTGTCATCTTGTTTTATCTTCTCGATATAAACAGTTTACAATAAATGCCGCAATATCGGGATTAGCCCAATAAGTAAAATGGCTTTTCAACACAGACCAGTAACTACGATCAGTAATTTGCGGCTGCACTTGATAATCCATGCGATACGGTAACCCTTGAAAAGAATTTCAAAAAATTTTTAGAAAATATACACTTATAACATAATAATGAGGGCGATAAAGCTTTGATATATAAGGTTAAATTGGTTTCATAAAAAATGTATTCCAATATATCAGGAATGTAGACGTCTTACACATCTTTTAATAGCGAAACTACTAGACGATTGATATAGTCAATACAACCTTCTCAAAAAAGCTGGTGCCTTATAATACGCTAGAATCTGATAGTCAGGCTGTTAGTAAGGTCACATCTGTGTGAAGCCCAAAAGACAACCAAGTTGTATGACTCGGGTTCAAACCTACAACGACCTACAACAATCTACAAATCTATAACGACCCTACAACGGGTCAAAGCTGGTCAAAGAACATTATGCGTTATAAGACTATTTTTTTTCATGTCTATTTGCTTGCATTTCTTACCATCTATCCAATCTTCAGTATATACGATCTGATTAAGATGATTTTTTCAAGATAACATTCAAACCCACTTTCTTCTACAGCGATTTCTTCTATCAATTTCTGGGCTTCATTCAGTTTAACTTCCTCAAAAAATCCCTCGCTAGCTTCTTTCTCCCTTCGGCTGCTTCCAAATTTCCACCAGCTTTTCTTATTATCACCACTTTCTGACGGTGGGGGCGTTAAACTTTGCGGTGACGACCCTAAAATGAAAAATGATTGAAAACAGTTGGAAAATTTAAAGTGAATAATTCCTCACAATCACGAAGTTTAACTTTGCAACAAAAAGGAACGAAACGTGAAAACAATTTGAACCTATCCAAATTCTGTCGTGAAGATTTAGAATCGAATCCGTAAACGATCACACCTGGACTGCTCGGTCGTAAGGCCGATGAATCATCGCTTTCACATTCATCCTCTTCCTCAATTTCTTCGTGATCTTTATCGCCAACAACCGCTATTCGAGCATCTTTTTCTTTTTCAACTTTTTCCTTTATTTTTATCTTCTTGATGTAAGCTTTGTTGATCTAGGAAAGAAGTTTTAAATTTTGAAGTGAAATACACTTTGTTGATCTAAAGAAGAGATTTAAATATGAAATAAAGCGTCAAACAAACAGTTATTGAATAATAAAAGCATGATACATAAGATTATAAGATAGTTAAAATAAGAACGGCAAAACCCAATCATTTCGACTCCAATCATTTGACCTTTAAAGCTGGAAGTAAGGGTATCATTCAGATCAGAGCTAATAAAAAAGTAGTCTATAATAAAATGGGAGCAAGGAACCACCTCCCATTCGACTGGACAACCGTAGAGTTATCTGTTGGTGTGATATAACCACCGTCATCGGTAAATTGGGAACTGCTGGTCCTGCAGAAGCTAAAATGCTACGCATATTCGAATGGAACATATGATACACTTCATAATCAGCTACCGCTAGAAAAAACGCACTTCGGGTGGAAGAAGAGCATAATCTCGCAATGACCGTAGATCGATTGAACTGAATAATTTAATAGGTCGAATTAAACGATACTGTTTATGCACTAACGGTTCCAAGCGGTATGCCTAGAAAAATCGTTGATTGCAAATGAATGATTTTCAATTTTGTAACTGTTTTTCAGATTATTTAACTAAGATGCGACCTTGCAGAATTTAAAAATGTACCACTGGATCATACGGATGAAAAATATTGTATATTCTCTTCAGACTATCGGTTTCAGGAACAAATGTTGTTGAACCTCTCATAATTAAGAAAACAGCAAGAGGCGAGCCAACACAAAACATGTTTCTAACCTGAAACAGTCGATATAAGGAAAGAGGAAATCCACCACTCCAGGTAAAAACAAACGTATCAACTGCTTTACAAATAGATTCGTGAAATGACCTTAAACTTTAGTTTTTGTTTCTGCGTTATGAAAGCGAGTTGAAATCCACCATAAAGTTCCAAAAGTCTGAAAACGAAAGAAGAAACATCTTAATTATGGGAACTTTAGTTAAAAATGGAAAACAGTTAATTTACGAGAAATCCAAGTTGCATGGAGTAAATGATTATTATTAGCAGTGATTTCCTACAACACTAGATCAACTCCTTTTTCGAAAGATCAGTTGAACATATATGCCTAAACTACAAAATAGAAAATGATCAAATATTAGAAAGTGGAGATATAACTACTTTAACCGTGCTTCTTGGAAGCCATTCAATATTTCAGCATGTTCTGCCTTCATCGCCAATTGTTGTTCCTAAAATAACTACGAATGTGATTTATATTCAAGCTAATTTTCTGCAGTCTTATCTGAAATCACTTTTTTAAAATGCTTAGTCCTTACATAAGTATTTACTGTCATCATTTGATAACCAGCAACCTTGCGACGGCAACCTATTTTCTACTCTGCCACAGATAATGAAGGGTAAACATTGAAAATTTGCTCACGATCATTTCAGCCACATATTTGTCATATAAAACAAGAGGAGACCAACAAGTCAGCAGATCATAACACATAACAGAACCAAGTGAGTGAGCATAAATTGAGATCGGTCCATCAAAATCAGGATGATTTTGTACAAACAAACTGTACACGTTATTTAGCGACCGTATCAAACCTTCCATAATCTGAAAATTGAAGATTAATTCCGATAGGCATTCAGTTCTTGCAAGCATAACAGAGAAAGAGAGAGTGAGTAGCAAAACCGTAAAGTTGGACTGGTCAACGGAATTAAAGGAAAAAAATCTGGCAACAGTGAGAAGAAAACAGGGGATCTACTAAAGTACATTTATTTGTTTAGTTTATTTAACGGCAATAAAATACTTCAATTGAATAACAGCAGCATTTAGAGAAGGCATAAAGAGAGAAATAAATTTTTTACATAATTCAAAAGAAATATATAATCGGAAAAACTCAATTCATTTCGATAGAGTGGAGACTGATAATACATAATATCCATTGCCGTCGAATTTAAAGTATTACGCATTGAGGACATCTTTGGCAAAGTGACATAATCGGTAATACCGTCATCTAGAATTAAAGCTGCTCGCCATTCCACTGGTAAAACCATTGGACGAGTTTTCTCATCCGGATAATGCTTATCCATGCAACTATATATAGCTTCACGAACCCTTCAAAGAAAGTTGGAACTAAAATAATTGAACGCTTCTCACTACAGCGTAATGTTATATACACTCATAATCATGTCGGAAGTAAAACAACAATATAGAATAAGTCTGATATTAAGATAAATGTAGAAATTAAAGGAAAAATGACAACAAAAGGTCAGGCAGAGGTCAAAATCATCGACCAAGTAGCAAATCTTACTGATCAGTATTTTTTGCAATTAGATTTTCATATCCCTTCTGGCCAATACCGTGAACGACCAAAATCAAATGTCTGATAATTCGTTTGCCATCCTTCCATTCCGCTTCGTCATAGCCACGTTTCAGAGGAGTTCCCTTACCCCAAGCTATATAACGCAGTAATCGGCTTGTTTTGGAATTGTTATACAACGTGATATCAATAACGGAATTCCACCGTACTTCATATTGATCCTGTAGTTTGAGTTCCGCAAGAACTGAAAACTAGGATAGAAGTGACCAAACTCAAGCGTAATTAGAAGCTTTGTTAAAATACTACAATACTTCCTTCAAAATTTGCACTCTAGCCTCGAGATTTCAGAATCTAAGATCATATGGAAAAAATACTCTCAAAAAATATGCTTTTCAACTCCTCAACAACCACTAATATAAAAAACTAGCTTGGTTTTTTGCTTGACTCCTTTTCTGAGAAAACTGGGGCGTCAGGAATAGTCTGTGAACGAAAAATATGTAAATGATGTGTCTCAATGGGATCTGCCATGCTGGGATCAATTGGCTGTAAATTTTCTGCCAGAAACCATGTGCCCCGACGAATCTCGATCGCGTCATCTAAAAACTTTATTTGATGAATGAAGGAAATTGAAATTAAGAAATGCTGAGTGAATGCGCTGCTTAAATATATGCAATCGAACAAATGAGAAAGTCTGGGAATATGAATTAAAATAAGGACGCCTTAATTCAAAGAAAGTTCGAAAAGACATTTCATTTGCATGGAAAAGTAAATCATAAACCTTTCCAATAAATGGAATTTAACATTGTGAGATCCTCGGCGACTCGATATAACCCATCTAATACTACCACTGATGTAGGCATTTTCATAGTTCGTAAGTAGGATTCGGTAGCCTGATCCAAATCAATTTGCATTTGCTGTCGCCAGTATACTTCCAACAACAACGAATCCACCCCTAAAATGAAATCTGTAAGCAGTCATGGCACCGTATCATTTATTAGGAAAATAAAAATGTAACTGACAAAACTGGTTTTGTTTTTTTTTAGAGGTTGCTCTTTCCTAATATTTCATCCATTACAATTAACAGGAAATCACATAGAAATATAGAATTCAAATGAAACGAAATGCAGCAATGCAGATTATAATATTTCCTAGAAGCTGGAAGGATTGGGTTTTTCAACTTGCATTATCATCCCTTTTTCAAATTCATTTTTAACCTTATGTACCAGCACAAACCCACGATTTTATATTTGAAGAAAAAAACTAATTAAGATTGAAAGTAGACAATACAAACAAATTAACCTTTAAAGGCAGTCCATTTTGTTTCCGCTCCGCTTTTCCGATGAAACCATCTAACTTCAGAACATTTCAGCTCCTCGACCCGACGTTTTTTATGCCGTGGTGGCACCAATGGTGTCCCCAATGGATTATTGATTACCGGAAAATTTCCGATTTGTGTTGATAATACCTTGGACGATAAGATAGTATCATTTAAACCACCAATAGGTGTTGCTGCCACTGACAAATTTTCAATTTTAACAGGAAAGTGTTCGGCAATCGGCGTAGAGTATACGTCATTAACTTGTTCCTTGAGTTCTTTTCCAGTCTGTATTTGATCTTCATCCAGCTGGCTATTTTCGGTCACTTCCTGCGCGACAGTAGCCGTATCCGAACTCATCTAGAACTACAGAAGCTGACATATTAACAAAAAAGAATTAGATATTTAACAAGGCCGTAATGAAAACGCTTTCTCCAGGAAAACCCATTATCGCGAGAGAAGTTTGTGTGCCTTGATTAAGTTGTGAGCTAAGCTGGAGGTGATTTATGCCTTCGGTAAGATCTCCTATGCAAGAAAAGTCTCAATGAAGGGCCAAACAAAATGTACTCACGGTAAAATGAGCTCGCTAAGCTCTGGAAGATGGACTTTACAAGTGAATGGTGGGATTAGTTCCGCGCACGCTATGCCTCACCTAAAAAACCCACTGTGCAGGCTGGAAGGGTACATCCACATTTATAGCGTTTGCAGCAAGCGTGGTAGAACCCTTTCCAAATCTTCATTCGCGAAGCCTAGCCGTGATGAAAGAAAACAGAGTACTGGAAAACAGCTATGCATGTTTTTTCTTTTTTAATTTGAAGTCAAATTAAATTACATTGAATTGTTGTAGTTAGCCCTGATAAACTGAAGCTAAAAATAATACTGCGAAGTTCTGCGTATGAAGCTAGCTAAATTGTACGATTTCCAAATTTTCGAAGTGATAATTACCTAATCAGTTACTACACTGGAACAACAAGCATATTCATCAATAAATCATATGAATGCATGAGAAAGAAGTGCTGCGTTCAAAATCGTTCAGCACATTGGAATGCTAGCAACATAGACAGCAAAGGAAAACAGAACAATTAATCAGTCAACATTCAACTTTTCATTTTCGAGGATAAAAGGACTGTACAAAGATTATTTGTTTGAAAAGCGAAAATTTCTCTCCGCTAAACATTCGTCCCATATTCAACATTGGGCTTTATGGTTCTCAACGGTTCACATCCGCATATGAGTGTATCAGACTAAACTTACTTTTTACTATTCCTGAAAACGCTTATTCAAGAATGAAAGACTGAATCAGCAGATGGTTAATGCATGAATCGTTTGGTTATTCACACGTATATTCAAACGGATGTAAATAAACGTTTTTATAGATGTAAAATGAGAATACCTAACATCAAGAAATTGCGTACTCGCTATTCTGGAACCATCTCCCAACTTACTTTTGCACTACCTTTCCGGTGTTAAAGGACGTAGAAGACGCATTTTTCTGCGAATTCAAGCTACATTGAAAAAATTAGAAAAGACAAAGTCAAAAGAACAAACTTTAGAAGAAAAATTTGAAATACTGAAAACAGGACATTATCTATAAATTTCTATTTTTTGTTATTGCTATACAATGAAGCGTTGAACATAATATGAGAACATTAGGTAATATTTTTTTATTCGTGTTAAAATAATAATGGCAAAGATGAGCAGTTGAAAATCAAACCTTCAACAACACTATTTTATTTTCGAATTCGTCTAAATCAACGTAAATTTTGGTTTTTTTTCTGATAAAAAAACTTAACTCGTCCAAATGCAAAATTTTTTCTTTTTTCAACAAAAAAAATTAATTTTTTTAAGTGAGGGGATTTTTTGATTAGTATGCCAGCAAAGTCCTGATAGAAGCTCAGAAAATGAAAAAATGTCAAACTCACATCTAAAACATTCTTATGAAAACACGATATAAAGAAAGGAATGAGAAATCGCAAAATTGGCAGTTTGTAGTTCTTTCATGTTATACATATTCTGAGCAGTAAAGAGAGCAAATGATTCGGACAAACAATATTTACTATCCTTTCTTGTCTAGAATAGGAAAGCAGAATAGATGAGTAAAAGTATCACTCTTTTATTTGCTTAACGTCTGAAAAAATCAATGATATTGGAAAATGATGGACACTGCCTCAGTTTAGCTTCCGTAGCCAAAATAACTGAAAAAGATAATGTAAAAAGGAAGAGGACGAAGAGATACGTTTTTATGAAACTTCAAAAAAATTATTTCGCAACATATCTTGTACATACAGAATGACTCCACTGATCACGTTAATTCAGTCAATTCTGCTCATAATAATTAAAATCATATCGCAGAGAAAGTAGTAGTCGTATAGTGGAACGTCATACTCTTTTCACGATTCCAACCACTTTATATTATTCGGCATAAACAGTAATATATGTACGACGCTTGTCAAACCTTCATCCGTCTCGCAACTTTTTCGTAAAGATAGCACAGACACAGCACACTCCTTATCATGATGCTATTACAGCCCAGTTTATTTATCATTTATTCATCCTTTGGACCCGGAAACCGTTTCCGAACCCGTTCAGATACTCCATTCCTTATCAAAAATAATGCACTAATGTGAAGTATACATTAGAAGAAAACAAAATGTGAAATGGGACTGAATACTGGTTATTTCTTTACCAAAATACCTGGCACTTAACGGCGTTGACTAATTGGTCTATCTTACAATTAGGGTATGGTAGTTCAATAGTGAATAAAAAGAAAATGTACTTGATCATAGAATATCATGGGGATGAAAGAAAAATGAAAGAAATTTAGAAAAAAATGAAGCAACAAACCAATCTAAAAGTGGTGTGTTGCTGTCTGCGGAAGAACCTCATAGCGCGGAACTATTGCCGACTGACCGTTCTAACAAACATCCAACACAGAAATGCTCCTGGCAATCGTTGATAGCATCCACTTCAATTTCAATTCCAGCTAATGCTGCTCATTTTACAACTAAGATATTCCTTTCTTTTCATATGTAAATATTTGCAAGAATGAACAAGGATGGAAACTGTTCCATGATTCAGCTTATTCATCTGAAAGATGAGATCTACCTGTGTAGTGTGTAGAATTGTATTGAATATAAGGATCAAAGATGGAAAGGCTGTTGCCCTGAAAGGCTCGGTAACGGCTGTGGGGATTGGAATCGACCAAACGGCTATTGATCAACAAAATGTCAATAGTTGTCAATGAAAGAAGCATGGAACTCCAAATATTGTATTTTCTTCCTCTCCTCCTCCTCCTACCTTCACCTCCTCAAAAAAAATCTAATCGGAAAAGCGTCTTAGCATAATTTTTCAGGATGCTCGCAATGTTTCTACCTCCAAAATAAGCCCAGCAGAAATTATCAGCCCAATGGACAAATTTAGTACATCCAGTGGAACATGAACAGACGTAATGAATTATGAAGTAACAATTTTAATATGTAATTAAATACAAATAAGTATCCTTACTGTTTTGCAGATTCTCAAATATACCACATTCCTCAGAGAACGAGAAATCCTCTGATCATATTTTCTGACGAATGCAGCATATTCAGGAAGTGTATACATATCTTTTGGAGGAAAAATTCATTTAAGGCTAAGTCCTATTTTCGCAATAATATTATATGTAAAATAAGTTGAATTTCCCATACAATATACGCCAGAAATATGAATGATAAGTGACACAGTGCTTTATTATGCCGATGCACAGACCGTTGTTCAGACTGGAATCCTCAGAACCTTTGAACCTTAGGTAATAATGAAAACTGAAGTTCGTTCCTTTCCATCACTTTGTCTACCCGATCAAACAGGTTAAATAGGTCCGGGATTAGCTTGCTATGCATAGAAAGAACAAATGGGACAGTCCAGGGATATGTCACTTTGACGAGTTTGCCGCTTTTGATCGGCTTTACCCCCTGTTGAGCGCGATGCGTCCTCCCTCCGCGAGATGTCAGCCGCGGTCGTCTCACTTTTCGTATAAAAATCGATCGACCTTACTATCACTTTGTAATACATTTATTGGGAAAGTTATTGGCTTTAGGCTTAAGATCATCGGTAGGTAATGATTAGGGTTGTGTACGTATGACGTATTTTTTTTAGATCTAAAATTTTGGAAGTAATTTGAGACATAGTCATCTTATATGCATACCAGTGATCTCATCCTTTGTTCATTTCATTCAGGCCAAACATTTCAGAAAATAATTATTATTTTAGTCTAACTGTAAAATTTAGTTTTGACCTCGTAAAACCCATTTCTCGAGTTAGGCTTTCGTCAGGAAGTGTTTTCTGCATATTCCTATAATGAATTGTCACGTAGTGTTAGGGAGTTCTGTTACTTTTAATTCATAGTGCGAAATAGTACGACTCTTGGAGAAATCCATAGACGTCAGTTGTAAGCTTACTAACTTAGCATTGACTCTATTGTTATTATGGGCTATTTCTTTTGTCATATCACATCTTACATTTTTGTATATTCTTACAGGTGCTCATCGTAAACTTTTAGTCCTGTATATACACTTTGTTGGATTTGTCTGTAGTCCAATCTCCTATACCATATATAAACTACGGCATATTGAAATGCGAAGTGAGCTAAAATCTCAGAATGTGTCGTTTTTTTGACAGTTCAAGATAGTACTGATCAAAGTACATCTTGAATTGTATACTTTAGATTATGCTATCTCGAAATGATTTTAAGATCTTTTCAACATACAAAGCTTTCAGCCATGCAAATTATTCCCATCTAGACTTGCATGAACTTACAATTTTTAAACGACAATCCTTCTATTGCGGAAATGTGGCATTCATCATTTAAAAAATACCCATTAAAATAAGTTACGAAAAGGATGACTTCTATGTCTCATGAATCTGTGCATTAAATATATTTTTTATAGGAAAGTCGAAATTGATTTCAGGAAAATTTAATTAAGAAGAACGAAGTTTATTAATTTCATCGTGTAGAGTTTCGATTTTTCTCATACTTGGAAATTTTTCTTTTTTAAATTTTATGAAAGGGAAAATCCCCTATATTTTGTAATTACTTGAAATTAGGAGTTCTTTCATCTTTCTGATGCGATTATAGCTAGAATCAATTAGATATCGATAAATTCGAATTTTTTATTTTGAAATTGCATGAAACCAATGGTAGAATGATATTTTTCCGTCAAATACCTTTGTCCAGATATACATACGTATTTTGAGCATGTTTTGAGTGTATATTCTGTTCATCAACTTCCTCTTGTTCTTCTTGTCCTGCTCTAATGCAGGGTCTGCTTTCCCGGTTGGTGCCATTTTTCTCGATCATGCATTTGATGAGGATATACGCCATTAGTCTTCATACCATACCACTGTGTAGCGTGTCAGATCAACGTTGCTTTGGGCGACCTTAAAGATCGCTTCCCTGAAACGTCGAGGTTATGGCAATCTTGCACACGGGATCTGTCGTAACAAAATGAAGAAAAGATGAGGATTACTGTTCTTGTTAGTAATAAAGCAGTTATGTTTTTGAAAGAATGACTTACTGAATACTGGTTTGTTATGTGTTCGAGGAGTATAACAGTTATCCTTTATTGTTGTTCGAATACCAAATACAATAAAAATAGGTTAGAAGTAATTCCGATTATAGTAGAATGAAGTCCAAACTAATAAAGTAGAACAATGGGAGAAATATTGAAGTAGCAATTCATAAATGGAGAGAAAATAAAGCAAGATCGTGTTGAGTAGAGTTGAGTGATGACGTAGAGAAATTAACATTGAATCCTGTTAGAATTTCTTAGGGTTTATATATGGGATGTGTGAAGAGGAACAATCATTACATATTGACAGTATTCTCACAGGTTCAAGAGAAATTTACATATAAGAATAGTTTTCTTTATAAAAAATTGCGTATTTTATCTGATGTATAGCATTCTCACCATATTGTATACAAGACTTTGCATGGGATAAAGCCTTTACAGATTAGTTACCAGATGTGTAAAAAAAAGCACTTTTAGAAGATCTGAAGATTAGATAGCTGACTCATAGCTTTAAGCATGAGAAAAAAATAAATGTAAATGGGATGTATTTGAATGAATGATTCTATGATGCAGCTATTTCGGTTTTTCCAACAGCATCATTGCTGGCTCGAAAGAGTGGCCACACCATCTGTAATGCGACTCACGTAGCTTGTCAGAAATCGGGGCGATGCCGAACCACTGTCGAATGTTGTCATGTGTACGTGGTCGAGGCGCGTAAGACCAGCAATCCACTGCAGCATCTTTGTTTCCATCACATTAAGGGATGGTCTAATTCCCTGGTCGCAGGTCAACACTTGGCCCATAAATCGCTACAGGTCGGGTCACAGAACGGTAGATCTTCGACTTCAGATGGTCGAGTGTGCTCTTGTCGTATATGACACCAGTCGTGGAACGCCATTTCGACCATGCAGAGTTGACACAAGTGGTGATTTTCAGAATAAGGCTACCATCAGAAGCAATTGTCGACCCAAGGTACTTGAACGCGTTTGTTCGAGGTAACTCAATGCCATTAATTTTGATGGATTCAGACTCGCTTACATCGGCTGACAAGTACACGGTTTACTGACGTTCAGACGAAGGCCAAACTGGGCAGTCGATCACTCCAAGCCTGCACTTGCTGTTGAAGCTCGTCTTTGCTATTGGACACCAACATCATCAGCATAGAGCAGTGTCCCGAGCAGGGACTTCTGCAGGTGCATTATGACAGCATTCATAACAACGACGAAAAGGAATGGAGACAGAGCTGAACCTTGATGCACCCCTATAGGCGCACCCGGTCTTTTGAATCGGTATAGAGGATTCGAATCCAGTCGATAAGTTCGATAGCGTGCCATCGTAGAGGATACCAGATGACATATGAGAGACGCGATCGAAAGCTTTCTCCAAATCTATAAAGATAAAATGCAAACTTTTTGTTTTTCGCAACGCTTCTCAGCAAGAAGTGAACATGAATGGCACTGGTAGTACTGCACGAGTGGTGTTACACTGGTTGTTGGAGAACTGAACGATATCGCGAATGCGCGCACCAATAATTCGTTCAAAGACCTTTCTGGTATGAGAGAGCAAGCGATTCGGCCGGTAGTTTCCATAGTCGGGAGGGGGGCTGCCTTTGGAATAGTCGTGCTTTCATGCCAGTCAGCAGCTGTTTTCTTCGCGATAATCTGATTGAAGAATTGCGTTAACCATTCAGCGGCGTACCAAAATTTTGACTTCCACACTCATCGAACGCACCAGTTGCTTTGCCGGATTTCATCCGTTTCAGTCCTGCCTCAATTTCTCCATCCATGGCTGTACGGAGCCATAGGTTGGGACAGCTTGGGGAATAGGGTGGATGGTACACACTTTCTCGAATTTCGCACCATTTTTCACTACATTTTTGGTCCACAAGAAGATGGTCTCGTTTGTCATTGATGTCGTAAAACTTCGACATCTTCGGTTTTTCTATGACGGGACTTTATTAGTGGGTAGATAAAGCGTTTGCACTCTCGCGTACCGAGAGTTCCTTTCCTGTTGACCTCGTTATAGTAAAAGTAAAGCTTTCATTACAGTAACTAACAGCTTGTTTTGCGGCTCTCTTCACTTCATAGTATTTCTGCTAGTTGTCGGTGTCTTGTTCTCGAGAAAGGCGTGGTAAAACCGCTTGTTCTCGTGCACCTTCGCCTTCACTTCGTTTCTCTATGACCATGTATGCTTGTCGGTTCATAGCTTGACGGTCGTGACTGAAGGCAGTTGAAGGTACGACATCATGGCATATTCGTGTTCTTTCAATCACCACCACTTGATATGTTTCAGTCCGCATTGTTCTTTGTGCTTCCACCTCGGTGATGTGGACTTTAACCTTATGGAGCAAATCAGCGGTCGATGTTGCGTGGCAAAGCACGACCTTTGCATCGGTGACAAGGATTTGGTCGCGATGATAAACCATGATGAAGTCTTCTGAGTTTTGCTGTTACCGCTGTAAAATGATATTAGGTGTGACTGCGTTGCTGAAACTTCGTGTTTGTAATGACGACGTTGTTCGAGTCTGTTTTTTTCGAGTATTTAAGAATGCGCTTGCCATCAGCATTTCTCATCCCGTATCTGAAATCTATATCCATCCCTTGTCGAGCCGACATGGCCATTCAAATCTCCCCAACGACTATGCTTTTTTCTAATGGTATTTCTGTTGGGAAATTGTTTTTCTGCTGAACTCGTTCTTGGCGATATAGATTTAATCGGGATGTATTATGCACAATATTACTAGTTAACAACAAAAAGGGGTGATCAATATGTATGTATATTACACGGTGAATTGGTAAACAGTGATGAGTTATACAAAAAGCAAGTAATATGATCAACTAACAAATTCCTTGTCGTTGCCTTCGATAATAATTTTACTGTCGATTCGTTGATAGATCGTTGAGTTGGGGATATGTTACGGGAAATGTATTTAGCGAATAGAATATCGTCGTAGTTTGTTGTCCAGTGGTGGCGGAGAAGATTTCGTTGTAGTTCAGTCGTGGAGAATAAGCGTGGAGGATGTATCGTTTGCTCGATTGTAAAAACACTAACTCCTTTTGGATTTTTCCAGATATATATATATATACATATAAGAATTGGGGAGAAGTTTTGTTAGCTCCATCGGAGTTATCATGGTGGTATGGCTAGTCTTTGGCATTGTTTTACGCTGTCCATTGTTAGCTTAACATCCTCTTCATTGCTTTGATTTTACTGACAAGATTTCGTCACCCCGTCTGTTGGATATTGTGGAAATTTTATTTGAACATAGCTTTAATTTCGGTAATCCTACAGAAAATTTGCCTTTCGGAGTTTTTCCGACAACTTCTGCGGTCTCCTGCTGTAATAGTCTCCAGAACTCATCCTCGTCCTGGTTAGAATACCCAGTCTGAGGCGCATATGTTGAGATTATGTGGTAACGATGTTCCTCAATGACTGACAATCTTCATTAGTCGGTCATCGAGACGCTGCACTTCAGCAATTGAATCTCCGGATCGTTGCGAGACAATAATTCCTATGCCACTTCTGGTCGTTGAGCTCCGTTGTAGATGATCTTAAGTCGTTGTAGATACGTACAGGACCATCCTATCTTTTTGGACTGCACACAGATCGATACGATGATACTCAACTGCCGCAGCCAACTCACACGACCGACCCGTCAATGTCTTGATAACATTATGGGATTTCCGGATTACTTGCATCAGAGACCCTTGCATACCTTTTCCCACTCATCGGGTTTTATGAGTAGGTGTCGGTTCCTGCAAGCGCTGTAGTTTTTTATACGAAATCCATGGTCACTATTTTTATACGATGTAACATTGGTCATCCAAGACCGGCCCGTCTTGGAAAGACCTATCGCCAGATCCAGTGAAACACAACCGGTCTGTAAAATGTACAAATAAATAAATCGATATTTTAACACTAAATTTTTAAATTTACATGACTGTTCGTGGTTTCTTTGTTCTTTGCAAGCCATTTTTGAGCAAAACTGTTGAGGAACAAAGTTTATATCATTTCTTTAGCTTTATTTTGCAATTTTTCGAACTGCGCAGAAGTTTGAATCTCATTTCTATTTTTTTCGTACCGCATATTCATTCATACTTTGTCCGTCGCTGTGAATATGTTAAAAGAAGACAACGATTTTAGATCTGTGCTGCTTCAGAGATATCAGTAATTAACAATGGACTTCAAGGTTACCAATTTATTTCATATTTAATCTTTTTTGAAAATTTTGAGTCATAATGAAGTTTTTGTTTGGTCCGAATTACCACATATAAGAAATATCTCAGGATGCATTTTTCAAGTTTCTGTAACTGCACAGATGCTTTCTTTATTAGCTGGAGTAAAAACGAATGAAAGAATTCTTTAGATTGGAATTATCGGAGGAACTGGTCTTGAGGACCCAAAAATATTTAGCAATACAGAGAAACACAAAGTGAGTACACCATTTGGTTCTCCATCAGATGTTCTGATCGAAGGGAAAGTAGACGATATCACTTGTATTCTTCTGTCACGTCATGGTCGTGGACATGACATATCCCCAACAAATATTAATTATCGAGCAAATTTGTGGGCTCTTATGCAACAGGGTAGGATTTTGTTGCACTGTTATTGTATTTGGCTAGAAAGTTATTGATAACTTTTCAGTATTATCCGATAATTTGAACTAATTGTAAATTTTTGAATTTACATGATTATTCATTCTTTACCTTCTTAAACCTTTACTAACAAAATCATTTGAGGAGCAAAGGTCATTCTGTCTACTGCGGCATCTGGAAGTTTAAAAGAAGAACTCACACCGGGTTCATTTGTGTTTTTGGATTCCTTCATTGACAGGTGAAAAAAGCTTTGCTTTTCATTTATTTTGGTACATTTATCAGTTCTATATGTTCCTAATCTGTTGTTTGATTTCGGAACTTTCAAACGCGAAGTAACATTCCATGATGGTAAGGATGGCCATCCAAAAGGTGTCTGTCACATTCCCATGCACCCTGCATACAATGAGAAACTAAGACAGGTATTCTGTTTTTAAAAAGAACTTGTGTTTAATTTGATAGTGCCGAAGAGATATCGGAGGTTTGGTATGGAAAGTAAGAAGCATTTCTTTGACAAAAGCTTAACTTTGACAAGCCACTTCTTACTCTCACTATGCTTATTTGGTTTTAGGTCCTGATCTCATCCGCAGAAGAACTCAAATATAAGTTTTTCAAAACCGGAACTGCACTATGCATCGAGGGGCCGCGATATTCTTCTCGAGCTGAAAGTGAAGTGTATCGAGGCTGGAATGCTGATATTATTAACATGACTGTTTGCCCAGAAGTAAGTTTTGACAGTAATATTTTGTGCAATCTGCCGTGTCAGATGTGAGTTTATATGTATCCCAATCGACCAAATCTTTTCGTCTAATCAAATGAGATTGTATATAGTGACAGATTTTTTTTAGCCAACAATTTGTAGTTTTCTTGTTCGAATCACGTGTTTCGTTTCAGTATAAATGTTCATTTTGTAGAAATTCAAAATAGGTTGAATGTACTCGAGTTTTTACGTTCTGCACTGCATAAATTATGTGTCTTTATCCATTATTTCTTATTAGGTTTATCTGGCAAAAGAATTGGGTATTCCGTTTGCAACAACTGCTATTTTAACGGATTATGATTGTTGGAGAGATGGCGAGAAGGTCATATTTATTCTGTCTTGATTTTGACTAGGAGAAAGCGAGACTAAGAAGATTGAGAAAAGGGATTTCTGAACTATCGGAACAACATTTTGTTCAGCTGCAGTACTTTGAATTTAGTCGATTTTAAGGTATCGGTTCATTTGGTGGATCAAAGGATGCGAGAATGTTCGGATAAAGCTAAAACTCTCTTCGTTACAGCAATCAAAAAAATTGGAGCAATGCACTGGGATGATGAAATAATGGAAGCTAAGGTTTTTTATGAATTTTGCTGAAATCATTAAATATCTTTTTCCCTTAAAGAATTTCTTCACTCTATCGTGAGAGAAAATCCCAGAATATGCTAAGGCAGTAACGTCTTGACCTATATCATGTATAATAATACAAGACATTCGCTGGGTAGCACTTTATCATATATTTTAATGCATTGCTGGTTTAGTCATGAATTTATGAGTGTTCCAGAAAACAGCTCGAGCGGGGGTGATGGTTGACGAGCATGTAGTCTTCGATCATTTGAAATATTAAACTCAAACTGGTTTCTAAGGAAATACCCCTTTGATTTTTGTCATTTGATCCTACACACAGAAATGTTATTGTGATATAAGTCTTAATCTTTAATTTGCTTAAGCTCCATCTGCCGACTTTCACTTGCATTTTGGAAACGATTGCTGTCCGAAGTTCCACGTGTATCATGTAAAGATGGCACATGTGAAACTTCATTTAACCATCAGCATCACTTTAATCTTTTGCATGATATTGTGATGACACCTTCGAAGTAAGAATTGAATAAGATTTCTGAATAAGACAAATAGCCTTCCCTTTTATTCTCATGTTTTTACACGCTTTATAAATAAATGAATGGAATTTAATGCATGAATGTCGCACATTTTATTTCAACTTCCAGATTCACATAGACAATACGACACAAAAGGTCAGTAGTGGCAATAGTTTATTTCTTGATAGAACAACGGTTTAATCAATTATCCGTTAAGAAAATTTTTTTGCATCTGAAATACTTTGCAATTCAAATCACAGACTGAATAGAAAGCCCATAGTACTCTTTCTTTGAAGACTTATATTAACAGTAGCTCATTTGATAAGGATTATACAAGCAAACGAGCTGCATACTTCGACAAACCATTATCTTTTTCATTACTGGAAATAGTAAACGAAACTGTGTCATGTGTATGAATTATAAAACATATGAATTATTATCTGCGTTATGTGTATGGATGAGCAACTTTGAGTTTACTGGAACTTCTTTCACGTCTCATCCAAATTGTTAGAAAAAGACCCCATTGCCTCATCGCATGCCGAATTGTAGAAATGTCGCTTAACATTTCAGACTATGTTTTCCATTATTGAAACGTACAGTTAACGAAATCAATGCAACAATAATAATCATGTAATGTCTCATTACATATCTGACGAAAATTGAACAGAATGATAAACGAAATACTATTTCCGTAAATTATAGGACGCTATTTCATCATCCAGCAAAGGAGCAAAGATTAACCAGCTATGTGACTCGCATCATTTGATAACCAAAGTTTGCATTGTGTACATGAACTATATTAAATAGATCGAAGAATTAGATAAGTTGTATTAATAGAAACACGAGAAGCTAAGGCATCGTATCAAATTGCGGATAACGGCAAAGAAATTACTGAACTTTGTTGCACATCGCCAAGAATCTCATCAATTTCTGTAATTTACTTAAGCATAATCTTCCAGTGTCAGGAATTGTAGTTGTAACAGTTGAGGGTGTACTTCTTTTTAAATGTACTTCTTTAAATATTAAAATATTAAAATGTAAAATATTTAAATATTGAAATATACTTCTCACATATAATATTTCGACATCAGCTGTTACGATCAAATCCATCAAAGTAAGGAAATTACCTTCAACAACGACATGGAAGCCGTAGTGTAAGTAATAGAGATAGCTAAGGTGCAATATATAAGCTGCCACAGTAATAGATAATTTGTGAGATTTATCGTGAGTCCGTGAACATAAATACAAGCTCTAAAAGTATATATATATTATCGATAAGGTCCAACTGAAAAGGAGGCAAGCAGTTTCAACTCTACAAACTTTGATATCCCCAAAAGCATACCACTCGTAAGACGGACGGGACGCAAAAGATGATCACTGTTGTGTAAAAGAATAAATGCGAATGCAATGGATGGAATACTATTGTCAGTAAAAGTACTACACAATGACTGCATAAGGAATATCCCTGAAAACGAAAATTATTTTCAACAAAATATCTTGATAAAGACGAAATCTTCTGCTCAACTCCCCTGTCATAATGTCATCTCTCTGGAAAGACTATCCTAACAGGCGTAGTAATCTAGGAACTCAATAAAAGCTTACATATAACGAGAAGAAATGGATAAAAGATATATCCACATTAAACATCAAGCACAATGTATATATCACCAAAGACATGAAAAACCAAGCACCGAAACAAGTAATCATTGCTGTACCGATTAAAGTACCATCTTGAACTGTATACCTGGAATTATACTAATCTCAAAATCTTGTAAGAACGACTTCTCAATACAAAATTTCCAAGTATGCAGATTATCGAAATCTTGATTTGCATGAACTTACAAAAATATCACTTTTTTTTGATGTTCCTATTGCAAAAATGTGGAGTTCATTATTTAAAAAGGAATCGTTTAAAAAAAAAATGACTTCTCCGTCTCCAGGAACATATATAAGGATAAAGATATAAGGATATAAGAAATTAGCTATGCACTAAATACATTTATCATAAAAAAGTCAGGAACTGATTTCAGGAAAATTTGATTGAGAATGGAATTCATTAATTGCAGTGCTATGCAATTTTGATTTTCCTCATGCTGGAAAAAGTTTACCCGGATGATTTCATGGAATAGAGAAGCAAAGCAACCAAAGTAAAGATAATCATTGTTGGCCCATACATATCACTTGAAACATTCATCTGTGAAGGCTTTCGAGGTATGAAAGACTGTATTAAGCGATTTCGGACTTGACGTGGTTCTACGTCAAAGTAGGGTCGAAATAAATCAATACGGCCGTAAGAATTTAATGTATCTGTCATTTGCTTACTGCTTGCTTCCCGTACCTACAAAAATATAAGGGATAATGAAACACTGTGTACTGATGCAGATGATGATTCTAAATGATGACTTTTCGCTTTCATGCACATTGCTACATTAATGTTAATTTAGTTGAGTAAGCACTTACTGTTTCAAACCTGGAAAAAAAGTATTTTACCGGGTACCAAATGATATACCAGTCTTGCTGATTGATGCTACAAACATGAATGTTTCTAACGTTTAAAAATTCAGGTGGTTATCTCGGATAGGAAGGTCTGGAAGCAAAGCGCCTTTTTGGTTTATTTGCCACCGAGAAATTACCAAAACTAACATTTGCGCATAGAAATATTAAAAAAAAATGACTACAGTTCCAATAATCTTATTTCAATCCTTCATTCTAGAGCTCTCAAACGTACCATTTGAGAAAGCTTCGCATACAGCGTATCTTCGGTTGTCTGCGTATCGTTGCTAATAGAGTTTGCACGATTTCTTGACCTTGTGTTCTCCATTACCTGCATCTAATTTGCATCTTGTGTGAATCACGTTATGGGCGCATATTGTTATTTAAATATATACAGAGAGTATATAAACAAAATACATAAGTTGGCTGATTTGAAGGAACAAACTGAAAACTCAAATATTCGAAAAATTAATAAATAGACAGAGGAATGTGCAAGTATAGCAGTACTCTCTTTTCACTAGGTCTATAGTGACTTAATCCGAGTAATATTTCGAGTAACCTTATCCACAACTCAGATAAGCTTTGCGGAATGCATAAAAAACAATGCGAACCAACAACTTTGATACTCCTACAGCTATCCGGGCGAAATATGCAAGACCGAACAATAGAAATGGTCGAATCTAGCCAGTCGATAGTGTTGTTCTGCGTTGCCGTTGGGTTGGGGTGGAGTTGCTTGTTTTTTATCGAATTTTACTTCGTTCCAAGATATCTCGGGGAGTCTGCCCGCACTCGCACTCAGGACGATCATGCTCCGTCGTCATGATTTTTAAGTTGGATGGATGGGTCAGTGTATATATATATGCTTGTATTGGTATGTGTGTGCTCGTAGTTATTGTGCTTTCCTTCTGTCATTTCCGTATTCCCTTCCCTCCTACAACAAATATTGCTGTTATTTTGCCCAGATTTTTTTGAACGCACTACTGCATAATCCGTTTTTCAAGCACTGAATTTAATAAATCAAATAAGGGTTTTAATACTCGATTTTATTACTTTGTTAAAACCACTAAGCACTTATTTTGTTACGTATATGAAAGTAGGAGCAAATGCTGCTATCGCTGTTACTTACGTTAAATTTAATAAGTTTACTATCGTTCTGCAGGTTTTTTTTCCAGAACAGCGCAATGTTCGAGCAAGCAAATGAAGAAGCGGAGTTGAATGTGGAGGCATCGAATCTATCTGCCGATGTACATTCTGTTAGAAAAGCTCCTATTTGTAGGTTTTTCCAAATTCACGAATGTTGGCCTTATAAATCTTGAAGTTTTCCTTGGTCTTTACCCCGTAAAATCGCTGGTAGAAGTACTTCCCTGGTTTTATAAGAGTTTGTGATTGTAGAATCGTGCTACAGTTCTTGTTTAGCAATAGATCAAGTGTAGCATTGTTTCAGTGAAGCTATATCTCCTGAAATTTCTACCAAATCAGGATAGCATTGTCATCCACACTTTGGGTGTTTCCTAAGCCTACGAATTATTTAATCTCTTTTAGCTGCCGATTTTGATGGATACGTAAGCGTAGGTTCCGGCGAAGATGGTTCCAATATACTTGAAATTCCTGTTGACGACGATGGTAACTTACCGATAGCTACACTTTCACATTCGTTTCCTGAAGCCATAGGACTAAAATTTAAAAATCAGTCGACTGGAGTTTACCGAACTTTAGCGTATGTATTTGAATCTGGTAGTGTTAGTTAGTGCACATTTCTTGGTCAAATGAATGCATGATGAGGAACCGATAATCAGTTGACATATACCAGGTTCTATACGCTCTCTTATCTTTATAGGGTAGATGAACAAAAGCGGTGCATCTATCCACCAAAAGGTGGTTGGGGGACACGACGTTATGTGGCGATTTTTGCGACTCGTATGTTTTTGTTGCAATTATTTCTTGAAGTATCGCTTGTTATAACGATACTTGTATTGGGTATTCAATCGTTGTATTTATTCAAAAACGTATAAGCTAGTGATCATTTAGCTAAACAGTATATCAAGTACGGGACATAATGAGCATGGTTTTGCTAATGCTGCTCGTCTTGTGAGATCATATAATTTTTTAATATAATTTCTAAATGACCAAACAACAAACGATGATGCAGTTGCCTTGGGATAACTTACTGGGTGTTATTCATGTCTTCTCACTCTGTTTCAGACATGTACCTCTCTCTGTATGTCTGCTAGATTAAGCAGTATGAATGTGAACAGGATTGGTTCGCCAGAAATGTTTGAATGAATTTGTGTTTTTAGCACCAGGTGATCGAAAACGGCCGTCGAACGATGTTATGGGGGATCTAGTAGGGGAAAAACGCTCTGGCTTGGATGGTAGTTTGAATGAAAGTTTGCGTGTACCGGTAGATTTAATCGTTCTCAATCTCTCTTTCAAAACAGATGAAGAGGCGCTCAAAAAATTTTTCGAACAATACGGTGAAGTTCAGTACGTTGAGGTTTGCTCTGGTCGATTGTTCTTTCTCTTTGTCTGTTTGAAAGTGCGTATGTATGTGTACGTGAGCGGGACGTGTTTCCCTGACTTATCCCAATTACTTGCCCTACTTTACTTGCTAGAACAAAATTTTCATACAATTCCACATTTTTGCGTTAATAGATGTCATGTTGATGATTCCAACTGCAGTAACTACATACGCTATAGGTCAAACGCGACTTTAAAACCAATATGCCAAAAGGTTATGGGTTTGTGAAATTCGCCGATATTGAATCACAGGACAAAGTACTTCGGGATAAAGAAGTTTTTATCGATGGAAGAGTAACACAGGTTAGTGGTACATGTCTACTTTAATTTCATGACAATTTGGTGGAAAATTTCCCTTGATTTTGTTTCCTTCGTAGTTATTTTTGTAGCAGTGGGAATGTTCGTGTCCTGAATTTATCTTCGTCCTTCTTTACGGCTTTATTTTTGAGATAGATTGTTTACAAGTCAAATTCAATTGTTTAAACAATGTCGACTAAGTAGTGGACGAAGTAAAACCATTACCATTCATGATATAAAACTCTATTTTCATTTTTGTGACTTTCGATTTCATAGCTCTTAGTTTTCCAGTCTCCGTTTTCTTCATTTCTGTAATTGGCAGTTGCTTTATTTACTCATATTTTCAAATTTCAGGTAAAACTTCCAAACCATTTTACCAACAGGGTTTCCCAGCAGCCATCCTTTGAAATGTTTCCTGTACAGGAAACAATCTCAACAAAATTATATGTTGGACGCGTGTGGAACACACTAACAGAAAAAGATATATTCGATGTTTTGGATGCAGAAGCAAAGAAACTTTCTCCTCTTGCCAAAGTGAGACATTCATAAATTCAAATATGAAAATAACCACAACCAAGACCAAACTTAGTATCATAAAAATAAAACATAACCTCATCTATGCTTTAACATTAAGAAAAAAAATTGAGCCAACAACGCCGGATATCAGCAAAACACACAGACAAAAAACAAAAAAAGAAAACAAACCAAAATCGACTCAAGAAAAACATAATAAACAAGTGAAGAAAACAACAAAACTCAATACTTAATAAAGGAAGAATCAAACGACCGTACTTAAATACAGAAAAATAAAAATAGCTGGTAAACTGCTAGAAATGGCTGGTAAAGATGGCTAACTGCTATTTACTAAGCCTAGGCATGAGGAAGTGGATTTGGCAGTGAATCCTCAGTAGCTTCTTTGTAATTTATAAATTAAGGCTAATCTTTCTTGATTTCCTTTTTTGTTTGAACCTTCAATTAATCTGAGAGTTCCTGCTCTATTTCCGCTTCAGTGCTGTCGAATATCGTCCGGTAGGGAATGGCATAGTTTAAAATGCCCAAATGTATGAAGGAGTCCAAAATATATCGAAATATACGATGAAATCTCTTGCCTCGGATATGATTAAAATCTTTGGAGGAAAAAAAAACGCTGGAAGTTTCTTTGCTTTCAGATTGAACGAGTGTTCATCCCAAAACCTCATCGTGGTTTTGCATTTGTAACGGTGAACGATCCAAATGTAACAAGACGGTTTTGTCAAATACGCGATTTTATCATCAGGGGTAAAAGTGTATGCGTCAGCATTCCAACACCAAAAAATAGTGGAAAGCAAATGCAACAACATATGCAAAGTCAAGACGTATATCCTACTCAGTATCCAATGCCACAGCCGCCACAGAGCTCTGTGTATTCCTCCTACCCTCCGTCCATAAATTATCCAGGTCAGCTTCCACAAAATCAGAACTGGGTGAATCCACGGACCACATATCGTAACCCCGGAGCGCCGATGCACTATCCCCATGATTATAATTCGCAGTGGAAATAAAAGTCCGCGCCTTAATTATATTTGAATCTTCTTTTTATGAATTGTTATACACTCTAGCAGTGTTACGTTTCAAAGTTATATATCGGTTGGCAGTACTGCAGTTCACGAAATGTCCATATTAGCATACTGTATATAAAGTAAGCAGTACCAAACGACCTGTTTTCGAGAAATCAAATTTCTGTTTAATCTTGAAAAGAATTTGGATTTTATAAATTCCATTGGTTTTAATGATAAATAAAAGACCATACATTCGTGCACAGACCGACCACGGGTTTCTGTAATTATAGATTTTATGATCTCGCTTATAAAGTAGTGTACGGTCGTTTTCTTTTTCTATGTGCCATTAAACACTGGCATATTTAACTGTGTTATTTATATGCGCTAACTGTGCGTGTGTTTTTTTCTTGTTTGAACGAATTGATAAATAAGTTTCGAAGAAATTTCCATTTACCAATTCAAACTGATCATTCGCTCATTCAAGGATTCTATTGCTGTATCGTTGAGAAAGGAAACATCCGACTGAATAAGTAAGTGGCAAATAGGTTTGGAGATGGTACGGATGGAATTATTGTGAGTCCTCTTCAACGCAAATACATACAAACATCAATAAACCATAACAAAACATTTAAAAATATTTGTAGTGCAAAGCTGATTTTGTGATCTGCTGAGAATAACTGATACCCCACCGGTGCTGTCAACTATTAATATGCAGGGATACGTTACCACAGTGCATCTAACTTCCGGTGCATGGAATATGAAAGTGGTAGTCTCGAAACAATATCCTTAATCGTATATGGATTAATAGTTGCACAAAACATCATACCGTATGGTTACCTCCATGGAAATTTGACCACAATTTAAACATACTGGAGGCAGTGTTTTAATGCCGGCAAATTTCAAGAAATAGTATATTATAATGAACGTAAGCAATGATTTGCCTGCAATGGAGTCTACCTTTACAACATCATGAAATGTGAAACGAAACTGAAGTGAACAGAACTGTTGAAGGATGTCAGAATCTTCCAAAATATATTTACATGCGTGAAATACCTAACTGTGTCACTCAATCTACGAGGCCTGCCACTACCAAGTCACTCGATCTACAAATCTGGTTATTGCTGATCAACCATTTTGTTGGATAGGATCATTACTAAATCACTTGATTCATTTTGACTCGTTTCCACTGAAAAGTATTCTTTTTTCTAGATTGAGGAAGTGTGATGAACCCCATTTTTGAATCTAAACTCTAGGTTGACACTCACCAGTGATACATAGGTTGAAACACGACCGTTTAATTTCAAAAAAAATTTTATGTTGAAACAACATAAAGCTATTAGCTGCAACAGCACAATGAACTATTCATAATGGTGATGGAAAAGAAAAGGAACTTCTTGGAATAACTGGCGCTAGTGAATCCAACAATAAGTCAAGTGTGAAGTTCTACATTATTTTCAATTAAAAGGAGTGGAGAAGCACATAAAAAAATAATCACTGTATAAAAGTTTTATAACTTGCCATCAGAAGGTTCTTCCTGTTGTTTGCTTTCTTCCGCAGTGAGAAATCCATTTCGCAGTATTTCTTCTCTTACCGTATTAGTATATTTGCAAGATTTCGACCCGCACTGACATGGGAAATTCCTCAACTTGACGTCCCACCACTGACTTCCATAATCGATAGTTAGTTCTTCTCCCTTAAATTATGAAAACAAATTACTACAAGGAATAAAGGTGCGGGCCCAAAATCAACTGGCAAGATTTTGCTGAAACAAAAGCCACACCTGCTGGATATCTCTTTTAGCATAAAAGCAGACATGGGGCAAATGACGTATATTTGCATCCCATACAACTCGAAGAGTGACCAAATTTGCCTCACAGCTGTGATTGATGAATCTGGAAACATTCCCCTTGAATTTTGCATCTATACAGTAGGCTGACGTTTCGTCCTAAAAACAATGCATTACAACTGCTAGGAGAGAAATTTTTGCAGCCACAGAAGAAATTCAAAAACTTTAAAATACTAGTTTCAAATCCATCTTTGTAATCAATGTTTACACTGCTTGCTAACAACTGAAATTTTTTTCCTAAATTTTTTCCTAAATTCCACTTTTTGGTCGCTTAATCATGTATGATTGAAAATTCTCTGGAGAAATATTTATATCAAGATGATCTTGAAAGCATCTGCAGCAATAATAGATCCCAAAGTACCCAGTAACTTCATTAAACATATTCAGAAATATCAGAAAATGCTAGGACTCCGGTATGCCTTACGTTATACTCGCTCGCAAGTCAATTTTTTGAAAAATTTACTACAATTTCGAATAAATAAGTGTCATCATCACGGCTATCTGCATCAGCGTCTGAGATAAGTTCACCAGCATATTCGCATACAAAACTTCCTGAAATTAAGGGGAAGAGAACTTGATTTTCGTAAAGCGGCAGTTTGATGGATGAGATATATCAATATGATTCACTGAAGCTTACCTTTCAATATCAAGGAACAGGTCCTCACAGCCCATCCATATTTCCTTGTTCGAAAAATCTATAAGTTCAGAAAATTTAAGAAATAATTCCTGAAATAATTTGAATTTTCTAATCACAATCTATATAAAAAGTATACCTCAAGTTCGCAATGAACACCTTTTTGTGCAACTCTTGATCTGCATTTATTCGAACAAAAGCAGCATGAACTGCACTCCAGCAGTACACCTAATTCTGCCTTATCAGCTAATTCGACTGCTCGACTAGTAAGATGTCCATCTGCATCATACGTACAGCGAGCCAAACAAGGACAATCAATTTGGCAGTCGTTTGCGCAGCGACATGCCTAAAAACAGCGATGTATATGCGACTTAAATTTTTAATAGCAGCTCATGAAAGTTCCTCACACTGTTGAGTAAAATATCTCTAGAATGAATCGTAACTACACAGAAAGAAAGTATAATGTAATTTTCAACTGATAGTGAAAAAATCTATAAAAACCACTAAATTGTTTATCTTATCTGCTCAAATACAAAATCAGGAACGATTATTGCTGTCTCAATTAGAAAATCATTAAGAACGTAGTAGTGCATCCGCTGATATGATCTCCATACCGGATACAGCAGCAAATGGATTTCTTGAAAAGAGCTCGTGTAAGAGACGTTCGACTTATTACCCACTGACCGGAGTACCGGCAGTTCAAAAATAAATGAACCGAAACAAATTCATAGTTCTAGAGGCGTAAAAAAAGAAAATATTAACCAGCGAAAAGTCGATATGAGTTTGAAATGAATCATGATCATCAACAGCATTTACATATTCAAAATTAGGATCCAACGTAGCTCCATCATCGGTGCCATTTTCAAGTGGTATTGCAACACGTTCACGACCCATCGTTATGTCGCTGCAGTAGGAATACGAAGTATTCCTTATTAACTGATGTAAGATTGCAATGGTTAATTTAAACGAACTGTATCCATGTATTGATCTATACTTGGACTAAATTAACTCAATGTCCCTTGTATTTGTCTGACATCAAATAATTAAAATTTTCATTTGATTTATTAATCGTTTATTAATCAACCACAAAAACTCTAACTGTGTAATATATTTGCGTGAGATCGACAGGAACTTCCGTAATTTCAGCTCCCTTCCAATACGATCAATGTATGAGCGTAAAAACTCGGGCAATCTCATATTGGTCCACAAACCTTTTGGTGTAGCACCGCGCTGCAGGAAAAATCTGAAAATTTCAACAGAAGAGGTCTCGAAATTTCAATAAAGAAAATTTTGGAAATATTCTTGGAATTTATAATAATTAATAGCTGTCTTTTCAAAAAATAACCTGATCAGAAAATAGTCCATGCTATTTTGAGTAGAAAGACAAAGTATTAAATTCAGACAAATAAGAAAAAAATTCACACAAACTAAACTGAAACGAAAATGAACATGTGCAAGGAAAGTGCGAGACAAATACGCTCCAAGAACGAGTTCAGGGACAATAATAACAAACTGTAATCTAGAAAAAGACAACAATAAAGCAATGTGTTTTGAGCAATAACCGATTTTTTAAAAAATTGTCAATTATACAAGGTAGAAGCAGTTACCGAAAGAGTCAAATTAGTACAAACAAAAGAAAATAAGAAATTATCTAAATTTAAAGCGGAATAGTTCATTCAAAAGAAATATTACAGTTCTTGAGTAAAGGCTTTGAATAAAACATTCAATAAACCAGTGTGAAAATCAACATTGGCAGAAAAAAAATAAGAGAATAATTAAACTGAACAAAACGAAAGTAAACGGAGTTGCGAACAAAAGACAAATTGGAAAATCCACAAACCAAATAAACAAGCCGATAATTCAGCATAAAATATCTTGAAAGCATATTCGTCATAGCGTGTAAAAGAGTAAATAAATTAGATTTAAGCATGCACTTCGCATTTATCATCCCTCACTTAGGGTTAGACAAATGGCTTATAGAAACAAAGATGTAGATTTTAGAAATCCCCCTTTTCAGACCGGAAAAACAACAGGTGATAAACATCACACCCCCATTTATCCTCACTCCTGAATTTTCCGAAAATATTAATCTGAACAAAATTTCCCAAAATAATTCAACAATGTGGAAGATTTCTGTACACAAGATCCGTACAATTCACGTAAATGGAGCAAAATTGAAAGAAACTGATCCTGTTTGCTCGAAATAGGTCATTTCAGAATAAGCAGAACAAGAAATATGGACCGTCCTCAAGCTAGGACGTAAATTGAGTTTGCCGCAAATGAAAACTCCTCTCGAAAAATAACGATTTTTGTTTTCATTAATCCCGTATTCCAATATATGAGATATAACAAAAAACTATAATCGGAAGGACGGATCTATTCGATGGGCCCCCATTTGTTGATAAACTACATCCGTTTTTGTCTCATTAAAAAAATATGGTAATTAAAATTTACTTCATAAAATAAAATTTTATATATTTATTGGTAAAGAAGCAAAGAAACTTCACAACACTAAATAAGCCAAAAAAAAAGAAACGAGTTCAAATCAGTGGAATGGGAGAGTTACTACAGTAAAGAAAATAGGATCTATTACTGTTCACCGGAGGTAGCTAATGATCATAAGCTTTCTATTACAACTGCAAACAATTAAAAGTATTTTAAAATACTTTCAGATCGAAAGTAAGAGAAATTCCGCTCAGAACAAATGAAAATTGATAAAGATGGAGAAATGTTCAGTGTTAACAGTGTCCATTGTGACAGTGTCCAGGCCAAAAAATATGGAAAGAAATGCAGAAGGGCGACAGAGTTTTAGGTGCAAAAACAACACATCCATGGCAAAAGTACAAGCTTGATGCCCTACATGTTTGAAGTAAAATTATTTTATTCAAATCGAATTTACGATAATATGTGCTTTCTGAAAATCTTAATGTGCACCAACTGCCATTATTTTTTTCGTTCAAGGCAAATAGTAAGTGTAGACATCTAAGGAGATCCACATAGCTACTGAAATTTCACAAAATCCCTGAGGAACTTTCCTCCAAAAATTACCGAAAGAAAAAAAATTATGAAATAAATAAGTAGGGAAATCTGACACTGATGAAATGAAAGTAAAAACTGTATATACTTAATGAGATTTTCTGTTCGATTCAAACATATAGTGATAGTTTCTTGGGGATATTTGTGATGATATTTATGCTAAACTGCGCAAAGGGAACAGAACAAGCAAGTACTGGTCCATTTAAAATCGCAAGTCTCGATGATGACAGACTGAGAAGCAGATGCATGCAATTTAAACATAAGATAAACAATATACAATGTCATCTCTGTATAGTTCCCGAAACGTACTTCGCGAAATATGTTTCGGAGCTGTACCGAGATGGCAGTACATGTTGAGTAGTTACAACACGGAACCGGACTGTTAGAAAAGCAATCGAATCCTTAAATTACGTCGCCAACAATCTTACTATTAAGAAAGAAATAAATTTAAATAATATGGCGAAAAAAAAAAAACTTTCCTTTAATTTTAGAACGAAGTGATCAAAAACGTTACTGTTCTACAAATATTCTGTACTTTTAGTACACAGTATAACTGTCCTTTTTTATGACTAAATTATAACAACTGAATAACACCATCAAAATAAATTGATTCCTAACGGCATTTTTATCACTGGATGCATAATTAGAGAATGCACATACAAGTTTAAATATATTATCATAAACTGACTTCGACTAACTCATGATAATTCCGACGTAAGTATTGCTAGTTGTTCTATTTATCTACGTCTTGTAAATGCATAAATATTTAATAATATTTGATAGCATATACTATTTTTCATTTCTAATCACTCACATTCCCTTGCTGCTTAATGAATCTGAATTGGGGGGTTTTTTCTCTATTTTTAGAAGAAGATTGGACATTTTATCAATAGCACTATCAGCAATTATAAGCTCTTCCTTAAATACTTTATATCCCAGATATTAAAGGATGGATGATATAGATCATAATAAGGTTTTTAAAAATTATACTACATTAAAAATCCATATTGAGCAGAAAATTCTATTTCATTAGTTAAACCTTTCTATACTTTTATTGAAAAAACCATTCACACACTAATTCGCTGGAATAAACAGTGCAACGACTCGGACTAACTTGATAAAAACTGAAAGTATAAAGCGGAAGAAAAACTAGTACGTTATAAGCTGTTGAATCGAAGTAAATTTGGCACTGAAGCGATCAGTCAAAATATTAACCGCTATATAAAAGAACCCTCTGCAAATCTTTCATAAAAGCACATTTTCAACAATTAAATACAGAAGTCTGCATAACTAAATTACGTAATATCTAGGTAGTGATGATCAAAGTAAATTCTTTATAGAAGAAAACTTACTCAGCCAGCTTCCAGTGGCATCTCGCACATGCCAGCTGGAGGGCAGTACGATGACGATAATCTTCAGCATCAATAAAAGATGGCACAATTACTGTTTTTTCAAATAACTTGGTTGCAGTCGCAATGGCAAGCTGTTGATCGTTATTCTGGGTTAATTTGTGAAAGACTGATTTTCCTTTTTCGGTTCGGTCATAAACGTTCGCACCGTAAGTAAGAAGGAGATCTACTGCACGATAATCATGATGGTTAATGAATTCCAGCAAACGATTACGCATAAATTCTCGCTATAAAATCTCGCATTTAAGGCAATTCCTTTGTTCTGATGTAAATGTTAATCCACTGATTCTAAATCACATCCAGTATGGCAAATTACGTATTCGTAATTATAGTGACAGATAAATAAATATCAGTGTGAGTGAAAAGGATCAAAAACAAACCATGCGAGTACTGCGATAATTCAAGAATTTCAAAATTTCTTCTGCTGATGCACAGTTACCAAGTATAAATGCCATGCTTAGAGAATCAGCTTTTTCTCCCGACTTTTTCTGCAGCGAAATCTTTGCAATTTTGTAAAATATAAGCTTGAATTCATTGGGAATAGAAAGAACTGTGTAAGAAGTACCTGAAAACTGATTGGAGCACCGTGATGAAGAAGTACCCTTACAGAGAACGCGTCATTAGCTTCTACGGCAAAAAGAAGACATTCGCCATCCACAGTAACATCCAAAAACTGAAGTTAAGAGAAATAAGTTACTGGATTTCAATTGGATTAGAGGTATAACCTAAATTTAAAACTCGATTAAATAACATGTATGTTGAATGACCAGATATCCCCGAAATTCCTGCAATTATACACAAAGAATTACCATACTTTTAGAAACATTTTTAAAACAAAAGGCATTTACTTGGAGAACAATTAACAGAGATAAGCGGTCGCAGCACTGTATTGCAAACTTTATGCTATCCAAATAGTACTTGCGACGTTCATAGGGCGATTTATCTGTAAATGAAGTTGATTTATAATAATGATAAATTCGACATAAGCAGTAAAGATAAATGGATAAATCCAACTGTTAATGAAGATTAACTGAAAATACCGGCTCGAAAAGTCCTCCAAAGTTCACGCAAAAGCAATTGGCTTCTTATGTGAAGCGGACGTTCTGTCGTTAAACTGGAGCAAATAGAATGAAATGAATCCAGTTCTGATATTAACCATGAATAGTTTTCTTTCTCACAAAGAGCCACTAAAACTTGAACTTCACTTGTGATGTGAAAGGATGAAACTGCTGAATAATTTATGGTATGAAAAATTAGTATGAACAAAGAAAGTTTGACTGGGGAAATTTTCGCCGAGAAGATATGTAAATTCAGAAAATAAGTGGATAAAACTGAGGAGTTTTGCCGCGTTCAACTGGAGTAAATCAATTGACAATTTTATCAATAAAATAACTTACAAACATTCAACTGCGACCCTCGAGTCATTTTCGGAAAAACAGTTCCAAGTTTCTCGAACAAAGGATCCTAAAACATACTATTGCATACTGCATGAACTTTGAACAACTGGAATGTTCGAAATAGTAACTGCGAGGTATAGGAATACTTTATAAGGAAACAAGGTGAAATGAGATGAAGCAGAATAAAGAATATTGCAATGACAGCACGCTTCTTTCCATGAATGATAGCAATCAGCGTGCATCCAATGCTGTACTCCTAATTCATTGCAGACTTTCAATTCGCCCTAAAAAAAGACCGATCCACTTTTAATACAATAACCATTTTCAAAAAATAAATCACAAAAAAGTGGTGAATATTTCCTCCAAAACTTCTCTCTAATAGCTTTATGTATCACTTCAAATAATGTCATAAAATTCATAAAACAGTAGAACACGCTCAGGGCCACGGGAAGTTTGAGAAATAAAGTAGTTGGAGTGCCTTACTTTAAATGTTTCGGAAGAACTCTGAAGCGTGCAAATTTGAGAATCATAAAGCCCTAGCATTTCTTATGAACTTTCCCTTAATAAATTCATCAATTTGTACAATGTTGAAAGTTTTCCCGCTCTTTTTTCTATATTTTTTAAAAGCTCATTATCGCAGAAATTCGTAGTTCTGTATTAATTACAACCAAACTGATCACTCTGGCAGAGTCTAACGTAGTATTTACCTCCGTGCAGAAAGCATAACAAACAAGACATAATCGATGTTGGTGAACCATTTCTGCGTGGATCTAAAATAAATTGATCAAATACGCGCTCAGCAGCAACAACAGCAGTAAATCGTGATTGATTTAATGAATCTCGTCTTTTGATAATGCCTCATAATACTATCATATTTGTTGCTGAGATATAAAGACGAAAACTTGGATATACTAAAATGTCCAAGTAGAAGCTATATACCAACTAACCGAACAAAATGATTGTTCTATAGTTTTCCCATCAATAACGCTCGACGAAAATGTCAACGCTTTCCTTCGGCATCGATATTTTATGCCGTAACGTCGGTCTTCCCCCGTGCATGAGCAGCGCACATTCGGTTCCAGAGGTGTTTCATTTCGACTAAAATGTGTCTATTTTTTACGTTAATTTCTAACCCTCTGCACTTATTAGTTTTGTGAGGTCTCGCAAAGTTCTAATCAACTAGTGAAATGAAAAGAAAGCAAGAAAGGCGTAACCTTAGCCTGATGCAGTAACACTGGCATGGATATGTGTTTTCGCTACTACCAGCAGTACATGGATCAAAATTGCAGTTTGTCACCGGATTCTCTCCCTCCCCTTCCTCCATTTCCATCAATCAAATTTAATTCTTTTTATACGGAAACGTAAATTCACTACACAACGACAACAGCGTCCTTATAACAATAACCTGAAACTAGCAAAATACCACTAAGTGTCACTCAGTTCGCTAATCTCTACAACCACAAATATCAAACTGCTGATAACAGAGATTACTGTCGAACTGATAAAACACATAAATGTCCAGAACTGATAGCACTCGTCAAAATTACCATTAACTTGCCGGACACTTCTCGAGCAAGCCAACGAGTACCAGATTTGTCAACTATCGGACATTCGAATGGATGGAGCGGACAGATCAATTAGAAGAGGGCAGAGGTGAGAGGAATGTGGTTGCGGATACGTGGTTGAACTCCGCAAGTACTTGGAAGTCGTAAGGTATTTATGTGCACGTTTCACTCATGCTATAAGCCTTGCAAATCCGGTAAAAGAAAGTGTTGTGGAGATGTGCTTCGTTGATATTTTTAATTTTATTTCCTACATACCATAGACTTTCAAGGACTGTAGACAGATTAAACAAAGATTATCTGAAGAATTGTATAACTTGAGAATATTGATCTAATTAGTTCAAGGACAAGAAATGCAAAAGTTGAGATAACTTTTGGGTGTTCTTAAACCTTTAAATGCATATCTAAAAAAACGTTTCGAAATGTAGATTGCGATTTCGCTTCTTTCTCATCCTCTCTAAAGAATATTGAACAATAGCATTACGTATTTATTCGTCAAAATTAAAATTTCCCACTCCATACTGTTTAAATGAGGGATAACGCATTCTTGTTCCATTTGAAGGTTTATTAAATATCTGAAAAAATGATAAAGAGTTTTTGGGTAAAACGTGCAATTCCAAGCTCGAAATTGTATGGTCGAAATTTTTATGCAAAAATTATGATCTATGAGTCACAGCTACCGAAAATGCGATGTCTTTGTCACGTTGTTATTAGCTTTACCGTAAGAGTTGCATCAGACGTATATTGTAGAATCTTACGTTCTGTGCGCAAGATTTGATGTATGAATATCTGGTAGGTTTCAAATCTTTAAAAGAAACGAAAGTTATATTAGGAGCCATGACGGGAAAACATCTTATTGTAAGTTATTTAACAATGAAATCACAGATATGGCCTATAATGTTTGTTAAATTGTTGAAAGTAGATCGGAAATGTTCACAATGATAGGTATTTTTTGGAGAGCGATGGGATGGAATGTGCTTACTTTCCAGCAGGAAAAGTCTCTTCGAAAAACTTTACCTATGACGGAAGGAAGTTCGAAGTCCTACAAATCCGAATTAGCAAATTTTTTAACAGGCACTAGCTCCACAGTACTTACCTTGACTATTAATCGCCATGTGTATTTTAAAACTTTAAACTTCGATATGTCAGCTGTAAATTTTGTTTTAGCTGATTGACAATTATCAGTCTGCAAAATGAATTGTTAATTTGAATTTGGTTCTATTATGCTTTAAGAGTATGCGATCTGGTGTAAACCACCGACACACAGGACGACAGAGTGGAAGAAACTGGCATGACGAAATGGCAAAACATGTTGATGCAGTAATGAGCCGAGCTAAGGAGCGTCGAATTACATTAACTAATACCTCCAGAAGAGGTCTTTTTTTAATCCCGAATAAACCCCTTTTGCTTTCCACCCGATTACTTCATTTATCTTCATGCTATGGGAATAGTTCTAGTTAGATTCTTAGTAGCAAAATTATGTATTTCTACAATTGTAATCATTTTTAAGAATGGCTTTTCAATATTGCCATCTTTTTCTCCATTATTACAAAAAGAAAAAACACACTTTATCTTCATAGTTCAGCCACATTTGGAATGAAAATTGAAGCTAAAATCTTCTGCGAGAATTGCTTATCGAATGATGTTTTACTTCACTGATGATTCTCGTTACTTTTCAATTTGAAACTATTGACTCCCTGAAGTTAGAAAACGAAGTAATTATTTTATTTCGATTAACTTTAATATGAACTCGTAAACCCTCTGATCAATTATTGCCTTCCTATCATAATAAGAGAAATATTTCATTTAAATTTGTGATTTTCAAGATATTTTGATTGTGGCGTAATTCAATGTTGATTCTTTCAGCAACTCAGTCATTGATCAGAGTCACTCAGTCATTGATCTGTCCACTAAAACAGACTATAACTTTGCGAATTCGGATTGCCCGGATTCGGGATTGGTTATGCTGATGTCATACTTCCAATACTGCAGTGACAGGGAATATGACTTAGTGCCTTTGGGTCTTAGATCTACTAAGCTTTAAGTCTAAAAGAGTGCAGTAAATCGTGAACCTCAATCTCTGGAGAACTTTCAGTACCGCAACGATTAACTCAACCCATTTCCCCTCACAAACGTTTGAAGGAGCGAGCTGGTCTTTGGATGTTTGCAAAACAATCGGAAGTTATTACTAAACCAAATATGATAACATCTTCTATACGACGCAGGGTTGCCTTTTATCACTTTTCTTCAACTACTTGCTTAGCTTAAAATTCTTGGTTTTTTTTCCAACCTCATTTAGCGGAAAGTTTTGAGATATGATTTTTTTTTTAATGGAGTAGCTATGTACATGCGCTATATCATTTTTTCAGATGACTTTTTTTTAATATTCAAATAATTTTATGCCTCTTTTAGATTCAGGAAGATGTGCGCGCGGTAATGGCTGAGGATTCTCTTGACAGACGACAGATGTGGAATAGAGCAAGGCAAGGAGCTGAGAGTAGTATCAATCGCAACGTTGTCTTTCGCGGGCCGTCATCAGCTGATAATGTTTTTGGTATCCCCTCTTGTTTTGGGTGAGCGTATTTGTTTCATTTCTGATTCCAGTTAAAAAATTTTTTGAGAACTGCAACTGGTTAGGGAATGATCGCCAATATGGAACGAAAGTTTGAAAAGGTTTTTTCGCGAATAAAAACAAAATTTTCAAATAAGGAACCAACTGTTTCAACTCCTCTTGCGTATTTTTTTCATATGAAAATGTTAACGAATGTTCAGGTGTATTCATTGTTAGTGTACTGTAATAAGAATAATCTGAAATGAATTGAGTTCTGACGTGATACGTATTTTACAACCATGGTGTAATATGAAGTGCAAGATTAGCTTGTGATTATTGGTTTATTCATTTATCTTCCGACTCAATTGGCATGGATTTTATTTCTAATTACCTAATAGATAGTATCAATATATGGTGATTAGTATTACTTAGCTTGCTGCATTAATCTGAACAATTCTACAATGTTGCCAGTTCTACAATATTCTACAACAATTCTACAATATTCTTATGTGAAATTGCGTAAAATAAATGAGTAAATAAATGAGTGAATAAATAAAAATAAGCAATCAAAAGTTTAGAAAACAAACAAACAACAGATTATATATATTCTGGTAACTTCATTTAAACATATGGGAATTTATAGCTTCCTTTTGATTTAGTTTTTTATATTTTTTATACCAGTTTTTATATTTTTTATAGCATTTTTTATACATATTTTTTATACCAGTTTCACCAGGTTTGACATTTTACAGTTTTGGAAAAAGAACAAATCTGAAATCACCGGTCAAGAAAACTATAGTTCTCACTATGGAAGAAGACAGCACATTATCTTCTTGTGATCTCTCGACAACAAAAATTGACAGCAGGAATAAAAAGCAGGATTCATTATATTATTTTTTTTCTTTTTTCTTCAAAATATCTGATACTCAGTAATCTTATTTGTAGGAGGAATTCATTGCTCTCATTTAAGAAATTTTTTAACTTTTTAGTTTCATCATTTTATTTGTCGATCCAGTTCTGTTTCTTATCAAACTAGAGTGAAAAGGCTTTTCCGCATACTTCTCAACGAAAAAAAGTCGAGTTGAGGAACTTTCTTTTTTTCTAAAAATTTTCTGAAAAAAGTTGAGGAATTTTTTTCAGGAATGGTAAAGACTTGTGTTTGTTTCCTGCAGATCCCTTATTGCTAGAGTACGCAGAACGAATCTTGTCAGTTCTTCCACAATTGTTCCTTCGAAATAACGACCAAACGAGTTATTCCATTGCTGCAGTGGGCATTGTAGCTTGTTCTTTGCGACGTCACGGTATATATCCGAAGGGTTCAAATTTTCAACAGAAAGAACAGTTAGAATCGTCACAAAGGGAGAACGATATGCATGAGGTAGGATATTGTTTTTCCATATGCAAAATGACTCACAGCCACCTGTTATTTAGACTCTTTATGGGTGCTTGTGTTCATTTCATTAGTATTTTATTTCTTTTTGCAGAAATTTTGGCGCAGCTTTTTCGAAAATATGTCTCCTCTGAATTCGTTTTCGGTAGGTTCGACGCTTCTGACAGATAATAGTTCATCATCTGCAAAATTATTGGGATTTGAAGATATTCCAGCCAGTAGTGAGCATTTGCTATCGAATTCTAATGATGCAAATACTATCTTGGATATATATCAATCGCCAAAGACTTCATCATCTAATAGTATATCAGGTTAGTGCCAATTTTTTATCAGACATCTTCCGCGCATACTTTTCGTATTTCTTCTGTCACGAAGCGTGTTCTTAGATGTTAGGACCGTTATGTGATGGCCTCATAAGGATTTATATTAACCGTCAAACTGTCCCATTAATGTGTTTATTTGGCTTCTGTATTCTTTCTTTGAATTCACGTATAAAATTAAGGTGCACTGTACTTCATATTTTTGCATTAGAAATTAGAATATTTTAGATCGTAGCTTCAGCGATTATTTTCCAAAGGTTGGAAGAAATGATATTGGGCCCTTGGCAAATTTATCGGTTAACTCAAATGATCTGATGAAACTTGCAATAGACAAAGATTTTCCGATAAATATCACCTGCAATTTACCGCCGCGGCAACCTGAATTTGATTTGAGTGAAGGCCATCCGATCACTGTAAACGCTTGGTTTGAAAGAGACTCAGCAAACATAGTAATTGTTATTTACATATATTAATGTGAATGGAAGTTAAGAAGATGTGCTAAGTCCTTTTTTCCAGGATTTTTAATTGGAAAAAGCTTTAATTCAATATTCTGGAACACTAGTACATAGTTTTACAATGGAATACTCCTAAATAGAAATTCTCAAATAGGGGTTATGGAACAATGCAAATTTTTTGCTCCTCAATATTTTTCCTGTTATTTTTGCCAGAATGATACTGAGTTGAATGCAGAATCTGAAAACAGTTAAATACTATTTTTTAGTCAGATACTAACAAAGCCGTTTATTACAATGCTAAGAACGGCAAAACATGGCAAAGTTGTCGACCAGTGGAGTATAATTTTATTGAGCCTGATATTAATGAAACAATGAATAAGGGTCAGTGGATGGAAAATTCTTCAGTAAGGCAAGTTTATAATTGTATCCCTACTAGTTTTTCGAAACGAATTCATACTGATATGCTTTACGTGACGGGTATCAATTTTCGTTTTTAGTTTTTAAAGTAGAGGAGGATATGTTTACTGCAATGTTTTCATGTCTCGCTACAATTTTTTGGTCATTGAAGCAGTTGCAGGACGAAAATTCGTTCCGAAATGCAAGATTTCCATTTCAAGTCAAATCGTGGGGCGTACAATGCTTTCGACTCCATTTGTGATTCTCAAACTTCCCATTTTAGTTTTGATTTTTAAGTTATTTCACTAAATTTCTAATGCCACAATCGACTTTAGATATTCCATATAAACCAGCAGTGCATTTGCTTATCTGTTTTCCATACCAATTTTCCATAAATTATTGGATCACTGTTGTCTGCTTTTACTTTTTTCTATGTTTTATGTAATAATCGCTGTCGCCTCTATTATATTTTGTTGTCTGTTTACTTTCATTAGTCATAATTACTTCACGTTTTGCATTAACAACTGAGTTTAAGCTGATGTAAATGATTTTTTCTTAAAATATTTTAAGGAACTTGACTCACAATACGCAGGTTTTTCATAGCATATAACCAAGAGAAGATAGGAGAACACGATTATAAGATAAGCGTAAAATGGCCACGATGATGTGAATATTTTTGTTAGTATTTCTTCAGCGGCCTCGTTGCATATATATATATATATATATATATATATATATATATATATATATATATATATTATAT